TTGTGAGGGTGAATAACTTGTGCACTTGCAACCAAAGATTACTACTAGATATTTCAATAAGGTCTTAAAACTAATAAAAACACGCTCAAACATATATAATTGAACAAAGAAAAAGAAGAGAAGAATAAATTCCATCAGTTGCTTTGCATTTAGGATTTGCTCAATGTTAATATTATTTTTTTCTACCTTTAATTTTTATATATCTTTAGCTATAAGAATAAGAGTTACAATTAAAATAATGGTGATAACCAAATGATTACAATAACTTTTGAACATTTGAATGCCTAAGTAGAATTGACTATTTCTGTTCGCGTAATCAACTGATTCAAACTTATCTTCTTTTATGTTTCTTAGACATTTTGTTGAAGGGAAAAGAAAAGAATATAGTGAGAGTGAACGGAATAAAACTTACCAAGAGTATATATGCTTTCAAAATAAATATATTTTAATTATTTTAATCTATCCGTTCACTATTCTATCTGAGCCTGAGACTCTTTTTCCCAAGCAATTTATCAAGTCGAAGACATTGGATGTCTCCTTCACTCACCTGCCTTCTTTCACTCTCAACCATTAGGAAATATATAGGATTTAAATACGTCATGCATATGAAAATTATTATAGTCATAAAACTAATAATTCCATGCTAAAATATCTAGATATTTAAAGTTTTGGCTCCGACATATCAGATTTCCGCCCATCTTTTTCACTGAAGCCAATTAACACCAAATTCAAATGTCAAGATAGACTGACCTAATTCATATAAAAAGATTTGCAATAATTCACCAGTTTTTTCTTTAAAAAAATCTCGACTACAAAGATCTTGTAAGAAATTTACAAGTATCTCGTATGGCAGTTCTTGGAAATTCTTGAGTTAAGAACTAATTCCTACTCGTGGACCATTGGAGAAAGTTGACATGATATTCAACTGAAAGAGCTGGTTCTTATAAGAAGAATCGATTCTTAGGATCAAATTAACATTTTATGGTTATTAGACATTTTATCATGACTAAATTAACATCATTAGATAGAAACTGACCAAAGTTCATAAATCTAATACGGCGTACTAAGATCCACGAAAAGCGAGTTTAAGAATCTTCATTTCAAGTATGTAGTGGCTCATGCTCTAGTTAATTTCTATCGCAACAGCACATGCAAGTGCGACACTAAAAGTTCAATAATCAGCAAGTCGCAAAACTTAGAAACTATAAGATTGGCATATATTAAACCACCATCATTGTGCTGCCATCTATCTTTATATTTCAAGCATTCTTCCATTACAGCATAAATACTATATATTCACCCATTAATACAAGAACAAGGTTTTGCAAACACTGTTCTTCCTTCCCTTATCCCCAATATCCCTTATCCAAAACCTAAAACAGGACCACCAAAATTGAGTAAACATCGTTCAAAGCAAGAAATCATGATCAGGCCTTATCAGAATCAGCCCCTTGGTGGTGGTGGTGTTGTGTTGCCAATCCAAGCCCTTCATTGCGGTGCTTCTCCCAGAAACCAGTATCAGCCCTGGAGTGTGCCCAATAGTACAAGATGGAGGCCAACATGGACAGCAAGGTCAAGGCAGCTCCAGCTGCAAACACACCTTTGCGCAGGGTAGCACAAGACAAATCGTGCCTCACAAAGTACCCTCGGTACTTGGTGTGGTATGCATTCCTCGCAGACCCTGCTAACAAACACGCCTCTGCTCCCAGAAAACTAATCCTGATTTCACAGTACGAATAATTCAAAAAAAAAATCAAACAGTTTCCAACCTTTACCAATGTTTATCCTAACAGAAAAATGTTCAATCA